TGATGGCGGTGATGGGTCAAAGCCAATGGTTCCATACTGGTACCCCAATTTTTAGCTGGTAATGCCGGTAATGCTGATAAATGGATGGTAATCCCACAAAAATGTTGGGCCCATAGGTTTTAACCCATCGCATATCTTCCAATAAGGTTTCAATCATGTCAGTACTTTGGAGTACTGCAGAGAGTGCGTGGCATTGACATGCTCAAATAAGATTTGAACTGAACCAAATCAGTTCAAATGATCTCAAATGATGCCACTGTCCAGTCGAGGAGCCTGCCAGATGGGACTTAAAGCCTTCAGTGGGTACATGGTGCGCCGTCGTGACTCTTCTCATCCACCTGACTATTTCTGACTCAAAACTGACGGTGGCTGTTGACTCGAAACCGGTGAGAAACTTCCAATCATCAATTTGTGGCTGCAGTCAAGACTGTGATACTTGCAGGTACATGATGCACGTGCCTTTCAAAGAGGCACTTCCTTCTGACCCTAGCACCGGACTTGTATGTGTGTGGGTCTTTTGAAAGTTTGCATTTTTTAGAAAATATTAAGGTGTGACATCTCATTGTTATCACAATCCTCATTGACCAAGGACAGTTTTACGCCAGGATGACATGGATGACATGGATGACATTGTTTCACTGCGAAGGCTGCAGCTCTGCCAGCTTCAGCGCCAGTGCCACGCTGGAACCTGCAGCCATCAGTTGGAACGTGGCTGATGCCCCGTCTCCCAGAGGCAGTGGCCACAGCATCCAATCCATCCCGTGCCCCGTGCCACTTAGCACCAACAAACATAAGAATACTGCAATATACCATCAATATGCTACATTAATTTATGTAATATGCTACAGTATGCTATAATATGTTAAGCAAATTGTCAACAAGACTCATGACGCTTAAAGTATGGCGGTGCAGATCGTCGAAAACAGGTGTTTTTGTTGTGTTTTGACTTCAGAGAGGATGGAGGTCAATGGAGGTGGAGGTGAAATTCCCGTCAGACATACGCCTTTTTTCACAAGCCCTTGACGCAGGCAGAAGAGGCCGGGAGCACAGTGATGGACGATGGACGATGGACAGGATGGACAGGGTGCAGGTGCTCAGGAGCAGCGCGTGCTTAGGGCATCCCAAACAGAACAAACAAGTCTTGCTCTCCAGCGCACTGAGATTTGAAAGATGGTGAGAGTTGCAGGGCCGAAAGCTACTGAGTTACTGTCATCGTTGAGAGACTAAGAGATGAATTCCAAAACTTGGAAAAACCCACCATGTGTAAAAACCACCATGTGTAGATCATTTTCCGAAGAAACCATGGCTTTTCCAATGTCTTGTGGTTCGCCCTGGCCCCGTGGCGCCAGACTGACCTGGCTGACGTCTTGCGGAAACGTATGGCGCGTGCCATGCAACAGGCAGTTGAAGATGGCAACTTGGAGTTGGCCTTGCGCTCCGTTTTGGAGGTGCCAACAAAGGGTTTGATGACTACAGGGGGGTAATGAGGTTTACTTATGATTAGTTAAGTTATACTGTTACGCGACGTGATTATAGAGGCCTTTGAACACTCACATGATGTGCATGATGTGCATTGGGAGACCAGCCAGCTCGACCAGGAAAGGACAGCAGAAGGCCTGCTGTCTCGGAGTGCGGGGGGCAACACAACTCTAAAGATAGCCCAAGACTGCGTCCTAAACTCCCGACTCATCTCAAGCTTCAGCGTGATCCTGTGTGTGGCACCAAAACCATCCAAAACCAGTAGGGGATGGTTATGCTAATAGCTCCTAGCAACATTTGCAGAGTATTCGGCAGGACATCAGGCACCCACCGAAACAGTAGATGAGTTGCGCACCATGTCTCGGGCTCAGAGCGATCTCAGCTCTTGCCCAAGCTGAGACTTGAGGTCCCATGGTTTCCCGGACGGGGCCGTTTTTTGCATGATAACTTGAGGGGGAGTATCCCATTTGATGGTTTCTAACGTTTCTAACGTTTCTGAACGGAAAACAACGACAAAGATAAACTCACAGGAACTCAAAAACTGTTAAAAGGAGAGGCGTGCGGCGTGCGCCTCAAAGGCTTTAATGCGGTCAATCCAATTCTAAACCATCCGCAATTACCAGAAACGGGCGGTAAAGAACATGCCCAAGCGCTTAGTTTATTGATGTTCCAGTTTCTTTGTGTTTCCTTTGGTTTGCCATGTGGCGCTCGATCAATCCCTTGAATCATCATCATCAAAAAATCGGAGGTGAGTCACTCAAAAAATCTATGGAATTCTATGGATAGATTCGATGTTTGCATTAGCTCAGCTGGCTTTCTACCCACCCGATTCAGGGACGCATCCGGCCATTGATTTCTGAGGCTTCGTGACACCTTGATCCACTCCTCCGAAGATGGGTCGTTGGAAAAGGCGCTGGGTATGGGGAGGTCCATGTTAATCTAAGATATCGAAAATGGTGTGCCAAAGAACTATAAAGAACTCAGAAAGTCTGTGACACTCTATCAACTTGAATTTTTATGAAGTTTGTTTGATCATAGGGCTCAATCATTTTGAGCCAGAGATGATTCGTAACGGCCTGATTTTCGAAAAACATGGAGGTGCTGGTCCCTCCAATGGGATTCATTGGATGCGATTGAATTTTCGCGGGATGATTTCTGGATTTGTTATAATGAATATTAATTCAATCATTCTTGGCATGTTTATTTCGGAAAGTCACGAATATTTGAGGAGAATTCTGGAAGTTCTCGCTGGGTTGTTTTCTATGACCCTGGTGGAACCCATTGAGCCCATTCCGCCAGGCTCTTGGAGAGTCCAAAAGAGGCGGGCTCCGCGGTCTCCACACAGCACCGCCGTGTGCCATGCGAAATCGAAAGTCATCAGCCATCAGCTGTGGGGCTCAAGCCTTGGAATGGAAGACAAGGGCTGCACCCCAAGCCATGGCCAAACTATTGCGCATCATCCATCATCATCCCACATGACCATCCAAGTGTCCTTCCCACAGCCACGCCACTCAAAAATCTTTGGAAAACATGATCTATATAAATTGACAACAACTGTCAGTCGGACAGTTGCTCTGCAATGTCTTTTTCAATGCGTTTCCGTGAGTTTGCTCCAGCCATGCGAAGTCTTACTCGCCCAGATCGAGATGCCGTCTTGCGGGAGGCACCCTATCATCCTATCCAGAAAGCCACTGTCCTTACATTAACATTAGCCATCATTAACCTCGATATTAACCATCATTAACCATCATCCAATGGCATTAACCATAACCTCTTCAATTTTCCCTCGATATTTACATCAATACACAGACAATAAGGATCGATATTAGGCAATGTCGAAGCCTCAGAATGTAGCACTGGTACGGCAGTTGCAGAAAGTTTCAACTCAAAGGGAAACAGTTCCAATAAAGTGACGATGGTGGGGTTTTGGCTGTCGAAACTAGTTGAAACTATTTCCCCAGGTGCCCTGTATTGCCCTACGCAAAGCACTGCAGTGATGTAAATCAAAGATGCACTGATTCAATAGGTAGGTGGAAAAGCCAATCGTGTTTGCATAGATTCATGCTGGGTTTCATTGTCAGCCTGAGATGTGTTCCACTGTCCAACTGCGTCAAAGGGACATTACTTTTCGATACTTTTCTGACGCAATTGCACGGCGCTGTTAGGTGCCCAGTGGTGCAGAGGTGGCGATGATGCTGACCCTCGTCGTGGCATTGAAACCCTGCAGTTGCAGAAACATACTGGATTGCTATGGCTTGCATTTGCTAGACAAACATTCTTTGATGATCTTTGATGTTTCTAGAGTTTCTTCTTGCCAAAGGCAATCACTAAATGTTCCTACAGATTCGAGACCAAGTGCGAGTGATGCAGTGGTCTTTTCCTGCGAGGTTTCGCTGTGCTGGTCAGGACTTGGAACACAGGAATTCTTGACGTAATACATGGCTTAAGACATGGTAATATTGGCAGTGCCATTCTGAGGAGATCTTGCAAAAGTTGTGTTTTGCGCAACTAGGATGGCTGAATATGGCTGAATATTATAAAGATTCAGCTCATTGTATCAACCAAAACGGCATGGCGTGGCACAGCGTGGCAAGAATGCACCAAGGAAGCGCTTGGAACGACCGCAAATGGTCAAACAGGTGTTGGATCTCATGCAGGCGTGGACAGACTTGATGGATCGGAATGAGTCGGAATGATCACTAACAAAATGCTTGGGACACTGCCCGGACACAGTTAACAGTCATTGGAGATTACAGAGATTTCTTCAGGCTGTATCTAATATCATCTAATTATCCAGAAATGAGGTCTTGTTCTTGCACTGCTTTGGCTGGTAGGATGCCGGGGCAATGCTGGATGAGAGAAACTACACTGTGGGTCCCGTGGCACAGTGGCACAGTTGCCGAGTCTGTGTAACGAAGTCAACATGTTCAAAAAGGATCAAAAAGAAACGTTTTTTCCCATAGAAGTTCGGGACGTTCGGGAGATTGGACATTCAACATCATTCAACCATATTCAACCTACACCGTAGATGGGGTTAGGGTATAACTTAGTATAACGTTTGATTCACCGCTGCCCCTGCAGCTGCCCTTGCCCCGGTCTCAGGTATCACTTTGGTGGCTCGCCAAAAACTTTGGCAAGATGCCTTGTATATTTTTCGTTCCATCTCCACTGCAGGACTCTCACCGAATCTGGGCCAAAAAATGGCCAAAGGGCACTGTGGAAAGCTGGGAGATGCTTGAATGGTGAGTTGCGAGAAATGGCACGAATCAAACCAAGATCGACTTGGTGATGTTTTTTGCATCGAAAGCTCAATTGTTGAAGAACTCTTTCTATGCCAGTGTGAGAAGATGTCAACATAAGTGACAGTGCTTGGTGCAATTGTTGAATCTTGTTCATGGCGTTCAATGCTTCTCGGAACTCTGTGGGAATATATTTGTTTTGCACCACTGCCGCTGGACGAACACTTACATTCCAGCATGTGCTTTGGCTTTGAATTGCTCTCTGTGACCCAGTGTACCGTGGCCAAGGAATGCATTCAACTACACTGCAACCATCAGCGCTTGTGAGAAAGCAGGGCACTGGCAAATGGCACTGCACCTCTTTCAGGACGGACTTTGTGGAGCTGAGAATTTCAAATCCATGACGTGAAAAAAGATCCCCTGGATGCTGCGGCAAATTAGGAGATGCTAAAAGAATTGCTTGCAGATGTGGTGGGATTTAGCGCTGCCATCAGTTCTTGCGAGAAGGGTTTCCAATGGCAGACAGCTTTGGATCTCTTCCAGTCGCTCAACGAAAGGATGGAACTGGGCCACGAAAACCCGTGGAAAAAGTGGGACCTGTTGGGGACCTCAATCATGGTGAACAAAATGAACAAAAAAATGATACCGGTTTGATCATGTAGGTATCTAGCTTCCATGATGCCATGATTTTCATGGCACCCTCAACTTGAGGGTTTCTAGTCTCCGTTACAGGACTGGATTGACAATGATAGACTGTTGGGCTGGGACCCAGACCAGATTCCACAGGGCGCTCTCACATTCAAATCGGTAATGTCCAAACTCAGCTAAACAGATTTGAATATAGTTTAATAATATTTAATCAATATAATAATACGTATTTGGGTTCTTTTGTGAAGGTCACAGAGTGTCACACATGTTGCAAGGTCCATGCAGCGAGTGAAAGTTCATCCCAACGTTTACAGTTACAGCGCTGCCATCAGTGCGAGCGAACGAGGAGGGCAATGGGCCCTGGCTTTGGCTTTGCTGGTTACGATGTTCACGGTCCGAATTCTTCCAAACAAGTTCCGAGCAAAGGAAGGGAACGGAACTGTTGGATTGGGAGTGAAGTTTTTCTCCGACAAAAATATTAAAGAACAAAAGAGTGTGTTCATTGATTCATTGAGTTCAAGGGGGGAAGATATGAACAAATGTTCTGGGTGAAGCCAATGAAAGTATAGTTGCAATCACTTTTGTTTTGACACTTTGACACCTGATGTTACGTCTGATGTTACATCTGATGTTTCTGATGTTCGTTGTAACGTTAGGTTCAGCTATAGTGCAGCCATCAGTGCTTGCGGGAAGAATGGCCAGTGGCAGCGAGCGCTACGACTCTTCGAGGAGATGGTTACGACTCACGTGAGTCCCAATGTGGTCAGCGTCAATGCCACGATCAGTGCCTTTGAGAAGGTCGGTAAAACAGACTGTGTCGACTGTGCGATTTCGACTTGGTGTTGGGGAAAAAAGCTGTCGATGTTGTTTCCTTTCAGTTTCTTTCTTTCGGTTCGGCGGTGCTGAGTTTGATGTTCATGGAAGAACTCTTATGGTTTCAACGGTTTTGCGGACGCCAGGTTGGAAAGTGGCAGCTGGCGTTGTGTTTCCTGAAAGGTTTTCGATCGATCACACCAGACCTCATCAGCTACAATGCTACAATGAGTTCATGCGAGAAAGGCGGAAAGTGGCAGATGGCTCTGCATGTTTTTCTTGATATGTACAAGATGCATGGCAGCAACTCACGCGCTATGGTATAGCAAACCTTGATTAAGACAAAAATGCACATGAGACAGATACATGTTTCTTCTTCTTATGATTCTCCTGCTTATGATTCTCCTGTTTTGTGACGCCTTTGCACATTTCAGGAAGAAGATCTCTCCAGATGTCACAAGTTACGGCGCTGTTGTGAGTGCATGTGAGAAGGATGCAGAATGGCAGCTGGCTTTGCACCTTCTGCGGCGCTGGCAGCGAAAAACAGTGGCTGATGATTCAATGATTCCACTGAATTGCCCCAAATTATAGCTGTACGATGCTATATGCTGTATATATATATACTATGCTATATTGATCTTTATTATATATTATTGTATAACAAAGAAATACACATCTATATCATTTAAATTCAGTTCATGATTTATGATACAGATCCTTTCCCGAAGTCATCAAACCGCCAGGCAAAGAACTTGAAGCTCTCAGGAGGTCAGCTGCTCGTTTCGGTCGCTTTGGCTGCCGGCGTGTTCACCTGAGTTGACAGGTATTTGCCATGCCAATGATGCCACCAATTCTTCACCATCAATATTGATCAATTGAAAATTGTGCATCGAGTTTCAAAATTCACGTTTTCATAATTTTCACATGCACATTCTGAAAGGATAGGAATGGGGAGACGATACAAGTACGGAGGCTAAACGGTCTTACCATGGGGTGAAGATCCATTATCACCAGCCATGTCGATCCATTTCGATCCATTTCGATGTTCACTCAATGTTTCTTTCCCAGGTCGCCAACCCCCCAACCCCCCAACCCAGGTTCTAAAGTGTCTAAAGCGATTTGATGCGATTTGCGTCAGGATTGAAATCCACATGATGCAAGCTTTAGAGGATGGATCTCTCGAAGAGGCAGCAGATCAGTGAGTCGATGGAATCACCCATGGGATAGGTCAGATAGGTCTTGGGTCCGGAAAATTCTGACTGGAGAGATGGATGCCACGAGCTAATGAAGTGATTCAAGTGACTTGGAGTGCTGCTCAGAT